TGAACCCTTAAGCAAGGTTCGAAACGCGTCGTGTGATGCTCTCAATCTCAAAATCTTTAATAATAAATTTATATTCAAAAAATGCAGAATAGATAAGCCATCTGAAGAGTCCTCTAGTCAGGACGAAACCGGTCATGGCAGCTCAGAGATGCTGGTCGAAAGTATGAATTGTAATATTACACGCTAACAATAGACATATATCCTATGCATCATGAGGCTCCAATCAGAGAGTGACTGAGAGAGTGGAAAGATCAGAGAACAAGCAACGAAGTTCAAGCAACAACAGACAAGTGGTCCTGAACATATTTGAAAAGAGAAAACTCAATCTACTAGTGTGAAAAGTTCCTTTCCAGTAATTGAAGATATTGTCGAGTTCGGAAGAAAATGAATGTAACTATGTTTATAATTTGAATAAAACATGAATTGATGTTGATGTGTATGAGACATTAGTGTTGATTGATTTTTCTAATCTCCACATATATGAAGTCACTCGAAAAATCGTCGTAACTGGAGATGAAATCGGTTTGGGTAGCTAGCCTTGTTATCCCGATAGACGTGATCATCTAGCACAAGCACGTCATAACGAATCCAATTAGTAGTATCCATGGAGTGACAAGTGGGCAGCTCGTTATTTTTAGATATGTCTATGTTTAAAGGAGTGTATGCGAATGCAGTACCCGAGTATAAAATCCAAAATAAAGTATTGTTGTATGACGGTTTCTTCACCTTTCGCTCGCTGGTGGATATTTATATATACTCATGATGAGAAGTATCATTCGAATGTATTGGGTTTGTTTCGCTGGATCTTAATGGTAAATTACCACTTTTTTTTAATATTTGATGCAGTTACTGGGTTTCCTCTCAGTAACTGTTTATTCACCTTCATTAAACAATCGGGATACTTCATTCACTTGGCGATGAGATCAATATGAATAAATGTCTTTCGCGGAATTTTTCTTTTTACATCATGCTCCATGATGCACTTATGTGTTTCTCTTTCTTTCACAGTTCTTCATCAGAGGAACCATGTGCACATAATGCGTTGAAGACAGCAGCTATGGGAGTAATAGTATGTACAATTCGCCTAGCATCATTTTCAAAAACTCTTATTATTGTTCCCCATACAATTTCTTGAGCTTTGTGGATTAAAAATTCAGGTTTTTAGTGAATCAAACAATAATAATATACACCTTAACTACCATTGCCTAGTTAGAAACGCTTATAAAAATCAGTCAGTCACAGAGGACGAAAAAAATCTAACATTCCAATCACGATTTTATTGCCATACTAAACTTCTGTTCTGTACATTGCTGGCAATCGATTCGATTAATCATCGAAACAACCTACTGCCTGTTGTGAATTATGTCTTCATCTGTAAGCGAATTCTTCTCTTCTATTTTAAGCATGTTTTTTCAAGTTACTATAGAATCTTTCTACCAGTGGTATTATTTTGTATGCTTGTATGATATTCGTTGCTGATTCATCTATATTTCTTGTAAGAAAAGTAATCACTTAGGAGGCTTTGAAATTATCCTACAGAAGTGAGTAAAATTCTAGTGTCCTCCAGGACAAATTAAAACTTCAATTTCACCTAGGACACGTTGAAATTCTAGTGTCTCCTAGGGCAAACTCATATTTTAATCTCTCCTAGCGCAAGTTAAAATTTCAGTCTCACCTAGGGAAAACTAAAATTTTAATCTCTCCTAGGGCAAATTAAAATTCGAATCTCCTCTAGGGCAAGTTAAAATTCTATTCTTCCCTAGGACAAGTTAAAATTTTAGTCTCTCCTAGGTGCAGTTAAAATTCTAATCTCCCCTAGGGCAAATTAAACTTCGAATCTCTCCTAGGACAAGTTAAAATTCGAATCTCCCCTAGGGCAAGTTAAAATTCTAACTTTGCCAATGCAAGTTAAACTTTTGATTTCTCCAAAAACGATGATAAGTTTATCATCCTTTCTGTTTCTTTATAAACGGTAGACAGAAGAAGAATATGACATTGTAATGTGGAGTGTGGCTATGAACAACGAATCTCATTTATAGATCTCTTAAAAAATTAAGAAAAGTTCTATTGAACTTAACACTCCCTAAAAATAAATGTGACTTGATCTAATTCTATATAGCAACATGGACATATTTTATAAAACACTCGACACTCACATCCAAAGTCTGAACGAAAAATTTCGTGCCAAGTACTTAATCAAAAAAGAAATGTACAACGATGTTATTTTGGTTTTACGGGACGGTTGGGGTGATGCACAATTTCGATATTGGGCTCAGAAGCATTTTATACTTGTTAAAATTGGTGAAACACATGTTGTACATACTACTGGAAAAGTTAGCCGTCCGGTTGTTACTTATGAAGAACTTTATACAAAATTAAATGAATGTCACACTCGTGTTGGTCATCATGGAAGGGATAAGACATGGGAAGAAGTACGTGAACTACCATGTTTTTTGTTAATAAAAAAAGGGAAATTTTTAGGTGAAAGCTCAATATGCTTGGATACCGTATGATGTTGTTATGATCTTCATTAAGCTATGCAATTTATGTAGCAATCGACAAGTACACTCAAAATCGTCATTTAGTAAGGGACACTGGCTTGTGTTAAAGTTGATTCATACATTCGTCTTTTTTTTTCTTTTTCTCAAATAGATAAATCAGTCATCTCAGTTGGATATTTTACACGTATTCATGTGGATTTTATCGACATGAGATGCCATCCCGATGGCAGATTTAAATGGATTTTACATGTGAAAGATCATTTTTCGAGGTTCTCTTGGGCTTATCCACTTGAATCTAAAGAAGCCGAACTTGTAGCAGAGAAGCTGTTGAATCAATTTTCTTTATTTGGTGCACCTTGTATACTTCAGAGCGATAATGGAAAGGAATTCGTAGCTCGAGTTATAAAAGTATGTTTCAACAAAATATTTCCAATGAAACGAAACAGAACGTATTCTTTCGTTTTTGTAGGTTATGAAAAAGACTTGGGTAGATTTAGCCATTTTAAATGGTCGGATTCGACATTCTGAAACACATCGCCTAATCGAACGGAGTAATCGTACACTTGCAATGGCGTTATACAGATGGATGCAACATAATCGTACCGATAACTGGTCGGCAGGTAAATATGTACTAATACTTATGATGTCTCAGTATTTTGATTATCCGAGTTAAGCTTTAGCTCCAGTGGTGTACTCAATAAATACGACAATTTGTAAAGTAACAAATAAAACACCTTTCGATATCATGTTTGGACAACGACATAGATCAGATATTGAAACGTGGAAGATGATTAGTGAATCTGGTGTAGAAGATGAGGAAAATCTTCCTAATGATTTCATTTCTGAAGTCAATGAATGTAAGTTCTGTATTAAACGTATAGTCTTTTGGAAGCTTCATTTCTTTTTTAAGTGCAAGAATGTAATAGGAATAGTAATGAATCAAATGATTCAAATGATATTGACAACAACAATCAACCAAACATTTTCGATACTAGTAATCAAATACTTGATGCAACACATCAACATCGATCATTAGCTTCGTCTTCTACTCAAAATATTAACAATACTGTTACTACTTTTGATAAAACTCATGATGAAACAAATATAACCTGTCTTCCTCATAATCTGTTCGACTCTGTTGATAATCCTACTGCTCAACGTCTGTCATACAACAGTATAAACTATTTATTAAGACACTTATATTGACATTTTTCCAATATTTTATAGGTATTCTTCTTACGAGTAATAGCGAAAATATTCCCCGTGCGATTGATGATACACTTAATCATAGACATCAGGAAGTTCGGCAGAAAACAAAAGCAGATTATATGAAATCTACTGATAAAAAACAAAAGTTAAATGATAATACTGTTAAATATCCTCAGTACGAGCTGGGAGACTTTGTTGGCCTTCAAGTCGATCGTGTTCATGCCACCGACACAACATTTAAAGTTTTACCATGTAAAGTAACATCTGTAAATTGGTCGTCGAATGATTCTATAATGTACAAAGTGTGTACTTTGCAAGGTGAATTATCAACAGTGTATGGTGTTCACGATTTCTTGGATTTACGAAAATATGATTTTTCTGATTTACGTGCTGTCGAACCAACAACTCTACCAACAATTACATTTACAGACGCGTGTAAAGACTACGTGGCAATAGGTATAAATCCTGTAATGGAGGCTTGCAACTGTAATGGTAAATGTGCTACGAAATCTTGTCCATGTAAATCTAAACATGTTAAATGTTGTATAAAATGTCATCCACAAAAGAAACGCAGTTGCGCTAATATTTGCGACCAATAAAAGTACTAATTTGTGATTTGTACTTTTCGAACTTTTTAGTGCTATTTGTTGTAAGATAATACTGTTTTGTGCGATCACTATAACAAATAAACATGGTAGTACAAAACAGATGTCAGTAAAAAAAACGACATAATAATTATTCTTTACGAGAATTTGAAATTTCCCCGCTATGTAAATTACATCGGCAATGCTTCACACAAAGCTTAAACGGAACAGTCGATATTTCATTTAGTCGCAAGGGAATTTTAAGTTTCTATGGATTTTATTATAAGCTACAACCTCGTCATTATATTTTTCTAAACACACCTGATGATTCATAACCTAAGCAACCATCGAAAGACGTCGTAGGATGCTTTAAATATCCTTCCTTCCATATATATAGTCTTTTTGTACAATGAAAGATTTGTTACATTCCATTCTTTTTCTTCGAAATTCTTTCAAAGTATTGGCCTTTTACTATCCAGAAACTAAAAATACTTGACGATCACCCTTAAGAAAGGTTCGAAACGCGTCGTGTGATGCTCTCAATGTCAAAATCTTTAATAATAAATTTATATTATTCTCGATTTTGTTATTATGAAATAGTTCTAATACTACTTCAAATTATTGGAGAGTTTATAATTCTTATGTAATAATAGATTGTAAACATGCCTGATGATTGAACCCTTAAGCAAGGTTCGAAACGCGTCGTGTGATGCTCTCAATCTCAAAATCTTTAATAATAAATTTATATCTTAACATCATATATTAGGCAATTGATAATGACTACGTGAGTTGTAGTCGAAACCGGTCTTGCCAATTATAATTAAATTGATTTGATTTTCGAATCATATCTTTTTATTTCAACACACCCATATAGTTGGAGAATCTCTTCTAAATTATTGCAAGTTATTTATATTATAACTTTCTAATAATTATATATTATTATGCATACTTCTAGATTAGGAGTTTATCTTAACTCCTGACTTTAGCCTTGCATAGTAGTAGGAGAAAAATGTATATCTTAACATCATATATTAGGCAATTGATAATGACTACTTGAGTTGTAATGGAAACAGATGTTGCCAACTATAATTAAATTCATTTGATTTTCGAATCATATCTTTTTATTTCAACACACCCACACCCAAAACAACAAAAGGTCATGAAATAAAATCGAATTAATTAAAATGAATAGGACAAAGGTCAAAACAACAAAAGGTCATCAAATAAAATCGAATTAATTAAAATGAATAGGACAAAGGTCAAAACAACAAAAGGTCATGAAATAAAATCGAATTAATTAAAATATATAGGACAAAGGTC